ATACCGCAAGTCACAGCTCTATACGCACTGTGGAAGAATCAAGAGAAATATTTACAGATAAAAATACTCGAGTCACGAGTTGACGATCAGCGAGACAACGGGGGAGCGACTCTCACGATTCCGTCTATTAACTTAAAAAGTGGGGAAAACTTTTTTGTACTTTTCTACAATTTTCTCTCTCCAATCTACTTTTATACTCTATAGATACTAACGGCGATATATCCCCGACGGTAACGTAAACGTTGTCTCGCAAGGACCCGCGGCGTCGTTGCAAAACGAGAGGAGCACCGTGGAGGGCTTCATTCAAATCAAACGGCACAAAATTCATCACGACGCTCTCGAGTCGAGATTCCGGAGGAGTCCAGCCAAGGAGAATCCGCGTCCCGGGTATCAGCGGGAGACACCGAGAGCGAGGAGGTTGGTATACCTTAATGACTGTTTGCGCAGGCCGCGTCGGATAGCCGGCCGTTTGCGTCTCGCGTTTCCGCTCGGCGAGCACGAGCGGAGAGTTAATCTCGAGAAATGTGGTGGCACTTTCAATACTTTACTATACCGAAACGTCGGTCGAGGATCTTATACTATTCCCGACGCGTCCTCTTGGGACGCTGACTGACTCCTACGTCGTCGCTGCCACGCGACTTCTTACCGATTTGTACCTGGCTCTGCGCCGTGAGCTGCAGCGAGATCGCGTGGGTGTTGAGCTTCTCCGCGAGCAGCAGATCCTTGAGACCCTTCATCTTCTGGCTGTATAGCGTTATCCTCGGCCTTTCGTTCTCGGAGTCAGCCTCCGGGAGAACTTCGGGCTCGACGTTCTCCTGAGAAGTGGAGGGCGCCGGTGGTAGAGCATCGTCCGGCGGCGCGACAAACGGCTCACCACCACCCTGTAGTAGGTAATCTCTGTTAAGTATCTTCTCGCTGCAGGCTGCTGTTAAAGCTTGAATACTGGGATGTGTTGACGCTGAATTAGAGGGGACTTTGGACTCTAGGCTCTTGATCAGATCTCGCGCCGCGTTTCCTCTCTCCTTAGTCTTACAATAGTTGTTATTATTGTTCAAGGTCTCCTCGGGACTCGTCTCTCTCTTCTGTGCCGTTTCCTCCTTCTGCTTGACCTCTGTTTCATAGCACTCTATGACGACCTGAGCGCGTATATTGGCGTCGAATTTTGAGATCGTGTTCACCAGCGGGCGAGCCCAACCTATGTGTAACACAGGAGTATTGGCGCCCTCCTCCCATTGGCAGATACCATCGTAGAATCTCAACAGGTATGCGAAGCAACGTGCTTGTCGTAGTAAACGCGCGTTGTCGACGCGCACCACATGCGGTATCAATTCGTTGGCAATTTCCAGCAATTCCTTGTATATTTCCCCGTCGTCCCGCGAATAATCATATCTGCCGCGCATAGAATTATATTATTCACCGCTAACAAACCGCATATCAATAAAGCATTTAACATATTCACTGTCACTCTCCAAACGCAGTTTCAGCGAACTCATTAAGAATGTAAAATAGATTTTTAAAAACTCATACGTCAAATACTTACTTCCGCAAAACATCCGCGGCATCGGCCCACGACGCAAGCGCGTTTACGTGTAATTCATGCCGATACAGATATCCACCTTGATAGGTGTAAGGATATACATGCGCGTTTCCATAGTATTTTCTTGCTGATCTTACAGCTTCCTACAAAAATATGTTCAGAATAATTATGTACATGTATTATATCTGCAGATAAACAGCAGGTCTTTCTATTTTTATTCCTGCACTAGAATTTTCTCTCTCGCTTTCGCCCAATATCAAATATACCAATCTCACTTTTTAAATTTCAAAAATATATACTAGTTTAGTCATAGAAAACAAACTTAGTGATGCTATTTGATACTTTAATGTCGCAAACCTGAAAGAGGTCTATAGGTGGTGGCCTTCCAGGCGTAGGCGCAGCCTCTTCCAATTCAGCCAAATTACCGAGTGCCATAGGATACTTTGCTAGATGGCCTAAGTCATACAGCAGCCACAATAATTCCTGCTGGAGCAACGCCACTTCGACCGCGTCGGTAGTCGCATTCAGACTAGGATTTATAGCCGATACTATGGTAGCCACTTCTAAAGCACGACTGCATACCATAGCTTGCCCATTTAAATACAACCACGATCGAGACGCTACACCAGGCTCCACTGGTTGCCCGCGTTTATCCTCGTTTCCCTTACCTGGTAATAAATTGCAATTACCTCTTACTCTTAATTTTTGAAGTCGCAAGTAGAATTTAATAAAAGTAGAATTTAATAGAAGCAGTGTAAGTCGAAAGCTCTAGGTTTGAATCTTTCTATCACTTTGCATGTATCAAAGAATTTATAGAAGCAAATATTATATTGTAATAAGAAAAATACTTTTCTTAAAAAAATCCAAAATTACTTGGTATAAAGTTGTGGTACTTTGTGCCGATCAATAGTCTCCAAAGAAAAAATATAAAGTATATTTAAAAGAACCTATCTTGGATATCTGATTAAATTGTGGTCTTTCAATCCCGACAGTTGAAAGTTCTAAAAGAAGGAAAGAATAGACCTGTTCTTTGTTGAAGAACTCGCTGAACTGATGATGCATATGTGCAATAAGTTAAAGTGAAACAAAAATAATTTGTTTCATCTTCTTCCAACCATTAGGATTGAAAGGTCATAGTTTAATTCGAGTAACCAAGATAATTTTTTTAAATATATAGTTAATATTTTTTCTTTGGAGACTATGGTTGGCACAAAGTATACCACAACTTTACACCTAATGCATTGAGACTTTGCACCACATACCATGCCATGTAACCTCCGCGGTCTCCGTGCCATCTTCTCCGTACACCACCCACGCATGGTCCTCTGACATGGCAAGATGCACATCCTTGAAACCTAGAACCTGGCAACCAGCCACCACAGCGAAGGCGACTCCGTAACAGTCGAGCTTGTTCGCCGTTAGGTAACTGTAGAGGCTTTGCAGATGCGCCCGGTCCTTGTAGTAGCTTCTGGTGAGGGAATTCCATATAACGTCCGACACCTTTTTCACGAGTTCCCTGGTGGCGTACTTGGTGTCGTACACGGTGAGGTCGACGGCGCCCTTGATCACCGCGTGGAACTTTGTGTACAATGCCTCGGCGATGTGGTACTCGACAGGCGGCAGCTTCGGCTCGTCGTAGACGGCGTTCTCCTGGGGCGTGAAGACGCGATTGCACGTCAAGGAGTTCTCGACTGCGCCGACGAGGATCGAGAGCAACGCGAGGTCCGGCTCGGCGCTGTTCTCCAGCTGATTCTTGAAGATCTGCACGATCGCGGAGATGCTCCGGATCGGGAACAGGGCCCTATCCCTGTCATGAAAGCCCGCCATGTCGCGCACGAAGGCCCCGCCGAACTTGGGAGGTTGGACACCAACGCACGTTACGTTACGCACGCAACGACCGTCGTTGGTAGCGGCGGTGGCGCGGCGGCCGATCTACGACGCCCGTGTGAGGCTCGTCATACCGCTGGCCGTTTCGGCGCACGGCTTTTGACAGAAACCAGAGACTCGGGGACAGAAACTCGCGACGCAACGCAACGGGCGGCCACGTCGGGCCCGCCGACTCCGTCCGGCCAACGCGCGCGCGTTTACTCCGCTCCGCTAGTGAACGTTACCCGGCGTTGCGCGGGTCCTCTCCTCTCGCATCACCGCACGACGAAAGCCGCCAGGCAGCGACCGCTCTCTCTCTCTCTCCTTCTCCTTCTCACCGTCTCCGCCTCCGCCTCCGCCTCGCCGCCCGCTCGCTCTCGCTGACTCGCTGCTGGCCGTTGCGTGTCGTTGCGACGCTGCACGGGACGTACGACGTACGCGGTACGGATGGCCGTCCAGCGGCGCCGCGCTCCTCCGCTCGCGAGTCGCGATCGCGATGAGCCGCTTCTCGCTCGGCTCGGCTTGCGATACTTGCGACAGGAGTCAGCAGTCGCGACTCGCGACTCGCCTTTCGTTTCCACTCGGTCGCCACCGTCGCGCCGCACTACGAACGCCGATGGAAACCGACGGCATGCTTCCCGTAGGCGCGATGTCTAATTTTTTGACGCGCAATAGACACGGAAAATATATACGTAGGTATACGCGCGCCGGCCAATCAACCTCCCGCTTTTTCGGAAATAATAGATACGTGCCGGGGGAGATTGATTAGCGCGACGTCCAGCGCGTTCCGCGTGACTCGAATGTCGTCACGCCAATTATTTCCATCGTAACGAACCATGATAAAACCATTGCTTTTTGCACTGTCGAGCCAAAATTGGAAGCGATAAAATTTACAGATCTACCTCTCGCACGTGAAAAAGTGAATTGGGATATCTGCATTGTAGCGAATAAATCTAAAAAGTTATTCCTGCATCAAATGGAAGCGAAAAACTAGGAGTAGATTTTATATGATACTTTGACATTTTGCACGGTATGACAAAAAAATACAATTATATCACTTTACATCGCTACGATCGCTACAAATAAAGACAGAAATCATTTTTGCATTTTAAAGCAAAAGATGAAACTGGTATAACTTTACCTCATTTGAAACTAATCATTTTATGCGTTTTAATATTTTTTAGTTATAATTAAGTATCCATCGAATGCAGACACAGAATAATATAATCCATTTTAAGAAGTCAGATTTAAAAATATTTTTATTTATTTCTCAATATTCATTGTTTTTTACGTATGTCTGCTTTTATATATTTTGCTTAAAATGAATATTGACACAGCAAAATTCATTTATATGTAGAAAATCCTTATTTATATTTATTCACTGTTTACCTCCCACTTCAGGAAATCCAACACTGTCTAGAATTTGTACAATAGCTTAATTCAACATTACAATGCAATGTAAATTTATTTGAAATATATATTTTAAATATGTACATTTCTTTACACAACATCTAAAATAATAACTAGAATTTTATTCTTGAAACCGACGCGATCGTCTGAAGTGAGCTTCAGAGCTCCGCACGAGAATCGAGTGTCGAATCGCGATTTGAAAATCTTAAGATGGCGCAGCCCTGTTTATCGCTTTGTGTTTCTCCTCTGTCAGCTGCAGCAGCTGCAGTTAGTTGATCGTTCTACCACGATAAACGCATCTTTTTACCTAAATGTATTTTCACCGAAGTCACGTTATCGGAAAATAGCGGAGAATTCACGGAGAAATTGGCCAAGTCGCATCGCATTGCGTTTATTACTCGAGAGAACAATCCCGACATGAAGGTGACGATAAAGAGTAAGTATATGGAATTCGAAATGTTCTTGCCGCTCGTTTTGTCTTGTGAACGTAATTCTAATGCGACATGCATGAAACTCAATCTCGTAACGATGGATGTTATACATGGTTATGTCACGGCCAACGTTCGCATCATTCGTACGTTTTTCTCGGCCGCAAAGCAGTTATACGTAGATCAGCGTCTACGAGGCATTTCTCTGCCTAGGTTGGACAGGCGTCGCCACCTGGCGATGGATCGCAAACGATGACAACTGCGGTATATGCAGGATGCCGTTCGACGCCAGCTGTCCAGATTGCAAGATCCCTGGAGATGACTGTCCACTAGGTAATTGAAACATATATTCTTTTTATTGCAGTATTCCACTAAGGTAAACTTTACGATTGCTATTTTTTACTAGTTTCTCTTTTCTTCATTATTTATTTGAAAATAACTTCTTCCTGTTCCTTCAAACAAAAGCATTTATTATATTTTTTATTAGTACTGTTGAATATTTTTACATTCTTTGAGAGAAAAATTAGAAACAGTGATTTATGCAATTAGAAATTTTAATTTAAGCAAAAATTCTATCATATGAAGTAACTGTTACTTAAATTAATAAGATTTATTTATCTGCAACTACCTAAGTGTGATATCTATATTTTAAATGAATGATTAATTTTTTATTTAACACGTATTTAACAAGAAAAATTATAAATTGGATTAAATTGGGAATGATAAATTATGTAATTAGAAATTTATTTGGAAACAAATTCCTTGGAAAAACATTTCTGTTAAATGAATTATTATCAATTAAGTTAATTGGAATTTGATCGATATCTATGATTTGCATTTATTCAACGCATTTCTACTTACAATCTATTTGATATACGCATATATTTTAATAGATATATATTTTTATTTGTGTCCATTTAATTAAGTTCCATATACATATATTATACACAAAATAGAATATCATTCTAAATTTTAATATATAATTATAGATCGCCGAAAAAGCAGGCTAAAAAATAGGATGATCTCTGTTAAGTTTGGTCCACGAAGTGAACTATCTAAATTTTAGATCTTTAGCAAAACTATTCTTTCTCTGTGTAAATTGCTCCGCCATGTAAAGATCTCAAAGAATCGACCAATTGTTCAAATGTGATTTGTCTTTCTGCATCCGAAATTTCGGAATTTCTATATGAAATAAAAGATTTTGCTAAACTATTTATAAATTTATTTAAATCGACAGAATCTGGAAATAATACTGTTAAGCCATCAAAATAATTATGTAAGACTCAAAGTGGTTTATTTTTAGATCTGTATCTAACTTTTAGATACTTCAACAGAATCATTCTTTTCGAATAGCATTATGAAACACAAGGCTTTATACTCTCGACTCATAAAATACCGCCACGACGAGAAGGCCGCATCCGCGACGGCGCGCGATGTCATGATATCGATCGACGCGTGCCGGTCGGCCGATGGAGAAACGCGGCTGGTAGGCGCCGCTGTCCCTCACCCTCGCCTGGGCACCCTCGGGTATTGATGCGCGGCGAATGTGTGCACGCACGTCCGTCCATTCTTCCCGTTGTTACCACCCTTCCTTTCCCTTGCTGCTAATCGCCAGGTGCACCCGACCGTTCACCGGTCCGTTGCCCAACACCGACGAAATTAATTTAACCGCTCGTGTACATCGTTTCGTTTCAGTGTGGGGGCAGTGCTCGCATTGTTTCCATATACACTGCATCATGAAGTGGCTGCACTCGCAGCAGACCAACCACATATGCCCGATGTGTCGTCAGGAGTGGAAGTTCAAGGAGTAACCGCCGCTTATCCCGCAGGCCCGCAGGTGTCAGCACGCAGCGAGTGATCAGGTAAACTACGCGTGCCTCTTCGTTCCTCCTCCTTACGAAGTTTCCCTTCTGAAGAGACTCGGATGTAAATTGGACCGGTTATTTTAGGAGAATTTAGACATCTCTTCCCATAGTCTGTTTATATCTATAGCTGGTATTCTCTTATATATATTACAGTTAGTTCTTATATCTAAGACCAGTCTTAAGTACAGTCTTAAGATGTCATAAGTATACCAATAAAAAATAGAATATTAGCATCTTAAGATATATTATTTAAGACAGTCCTGTAACTCTCTCTAAATTCTTTGGAATGGAATCTCATTCTAAAGAGTTTCTCTAAATTCTTTAGAGTGAGATTTCACTTCAAAGAATTTAAGAGAGAAATAGGAGCAACTATAAATACCGGTTTATATAATTTGTACAATTTAAATAGTCTGTGTAACACCAATCTCTTTTGCTAAATCTCGCAAGTTCACGTAAACTCAGGCTTTCGGTATCATCAAGCTTACATAAATTTGTTTAAAAAAGCCATTAGGGATAATCAAATAGCTAGTAAATGCCAATAATACTTTATGACATGTTTATTTATTCATAGCATGTTTTTTTTTAACTGATTCGTCGTATCCAACGCACTGTTCGCCGTAAAACGTGTAATAAGATTTATACAAATTCCATACGAATGACTTATATGTCTTCCAAGAGAGAATGTGTCGTACCTAAATTTAGAAACTTATCTAGAGTCGTCCATCCGCCGACGATTATATTCGCCTGCCACACGACAACCCGTTGTACATTCTCGTATGTTGTTGCGACTGATCTAAAATTCGTCACCTCGCGAATATCTAAAATCTTTTTACGCCTCATTCCATTCGGAATTTTCACCACAGCAGCACTTGCGATTAATCTCTCCTTTACAGCACGTATCAAAAAAACGTGTCTTGGAGAGGAATTGTATAAAAGACGTCGCACTGTTTATCGAAACTGCATGGACCGATTTTGTTAAAACATTAAAAAATTTAGATAGATACAGATTTGAATAATTTCATTAGAAAATCATCAAAATAATTATGTAAAAAAACTCGAGCTGATGAGCAATGTTGCAAAAATATTCTAACAATCAGCTGGAGAGCGTCTGTATAATTATTGGATAATTTAACAAAATTATTTTCAGATCTGTTTCTAGCTGAATTTTTAGATATTTCTATCATCAAAATAATTATGTAGGTCGTTGAAGCAATGCTGTAAAAAGTTTTCTAGCAACCAGCTTGAGCGTCCTAATCATTATTTTGATAGTCGAACAAAATTATTTTCAGATCTGTAACTAGCTAAATTTTTATACTTCAGCAAAACCGTTTTTTTCATATGACACCCGAGTCTTCATTGTCAGTGAAATTTGAACATCTCTTGACCCCTTCGTGCTCTGATCTCTCCGCGCGACAAAGAGTACATTTCCGGTTCAAAGGGTTAACGCGCGGCGTGCGACCGCGAATCAGCCTCTCTCCTCTCCGCCTGTTATCTGCGGGCAACGCATTGGCTCGTTGAATTATTAATAATTCGTTGTATCCGACAATATACGCGTCATCAGTGTCTTGCGCGTGTTCGGGAATGTAACGTAATAGCTGCAGTCGCGCCGCATAATCCATTCTCCCGGCGACGCGGTTACGGTTCTACCATAGTTCTAATCGCGAGCTCGGGAAGGGAGAGGGGCCCCTCTTTTTTTCTCGCTTTAATCGCGGGAATTGCGTTTTGCCGACATAATCGCGCGCGAGGAAACTCCGACGCGAAATTTAATGGAGTTCAACGCGAAGCGCGAATGGATGGTTAAGTCAAATCGCGACAGCGTACAGCAAGAACGCTATTTTCAATGCGGCACTTTAACTGGCCGATTTTGCGAGTCAATTTGACGTTTACGTCGGCTGCGGGGCTGAATTATTTATGATTGTAAAAAGACGGCCGCTTTCAACTTTATTCCTTTCGACGCGGTGTTCAAAGTACGACGGAGTGTAAAAATAGCAACACGAGTCATGTTTAATTCCAAGAAAAAAATGTATGATTCAACGGACGTATCAACAATTGAAGAGTCATGGCTGTCAGAATCAGTTTAATGTCGAATATGATATCGTGAGTTTTAGAAAAAAAAAAGGATTGTTAAAAGTATTGCGTTTAAGACAAAAAAATATTATTTGTCAATTCGACCTATCAAGATCAAAGAGAGATGCTAAAAAATGTCCTTTATGAATTCTGCTTACGAATTAATAAATATATGTCCGTTTCAATGTAGATTAATTTTAATCTCGGTTTAATTTCCTCTATTAATTTCTTTTTATTTGTCTAATTCTTAAAACTAGGAAATGATAAAAGTAAATCAAACCGAGATTAAAGTTAATCTACATATATCAAGGTTTTTTAATCGGTATGCCGCAAATGATCTTCAAGTGTGCCACGAAAATAGAGAAAATATTAAGAAACAAAACTTCAGAAATAAATAAGAAAACAAGGACGAAGTAAAAACGTTTTAAAAATCATAATTTTTAAAACGTAATTTAGATAATAAATAAGCATAATTAATAAACATAATTTAGATAATTGTCATAACAATTATCTAAATTATGTATATTAACTGTGTTTATTCTCATTTTAACCAAAGTGATAATTGCAATAAAATCTTTTAAAACGATAAAACAAGAATTTGAGAACTTTACGTTTTATTTCTGAACCGTATTGGCGGTATCTGATAAAAGATCTATGCTGAGCGCTGAAGCGTGTGCTAATGATGTATCTCGAGAAAATGGCTTGTTATTTAATGTGTTGCGAATTAAGAAAGGTTGAAAAACGTTGATCTACAAGATTGCCACAAAACTGGAAATCAGGAAAAAATCAAGAATTTTAATTTTCTGGAAAATTAAAATGCTTGACTTTAAAAAAGTTCAATATATACATACATCACCTTCCCTTCGGCAGTTTTTGAATATTACTAACTTAACGATCAAACGCAAGCAGTATCAGCGACATAAACAGTAATTAACATTGTTATGTTAAATTGCTCTCTCAACAAAATATTTGACAGTCTCCAAATCAGGATGAAAATACAAAAAAATTCAAAATATTATTAAAAGCATTAAAGAAAGTCATGACATTTTGTCTGAAAATGAGGGAAAAGTTATGGAATATTAGGATGAGGAATTTGTGACAATCCTGTTTGTAGAAACGCAAAATAGAGTCGCAGACGACGGACTCACGTCTGACATTGGCATTCGAAGTCCGCGTCTCGAACGCGCACTTCACGAAACCCCGTGACCCAGTAATCGAATTTTGTTTTGACGGCCATGTTGTACGGTAACAGCCGAACGGACGGGAACGTCTTCGTGATACGTACGATCCGATTTCGATCGATCGAGGAACCGGCGGCCGGATTGCGCGGGCGGGAGGGAGAGGTGGAGCCGATTTGCATTTTATCGGCGGGAGATCGGTCGCAAAAGTGGAACGAGTCGTTTTTGCCTGAGCCAGAGCGAAACAGAGTGTGAATAAATTCCGCGGCCCGCGTTTTCTCAGCCGGCCGGTCGTGCCACTTCCTCCTCGAGCTTAATTGCGCCGTGAATGGGCGAGCGATACGCGTGGTGATCGGCAAGCCGATAACGCGTATCATCAGCGGTTACTTCATTCCACGGAGCACGTGAGACCGCGGGATACCGCTGGTATCTTATCTTCGTCATTCCGCTTCAGTTGAGTGACGGAAAACATTTGTGAAATATCCGAGAGAAGTGCCATCTCCCGATATAGCGAGTCTAGAAACGTGGCCGATTGTCTTCAATGAGATGTATATCTCCACGTGTAACAAGTTGAAGAAAAAAAAAAAACTTGGTTTCGAGACCTCGTCAAATCGCATCAATCGTAGACTCGAGAGCGTGACTTAAAGGAGAGAAATCGCTTCGTTAAGACGAATTGCGCGAGTTAAGAGTAATCACGCTCCCCTGGACTCCTCTTCCCGCGATCTTCGAAACGGAGAGGAGAAAGAAAACGGGGGAAGAGTCTGAATGTCGCACAAGCTACGGCACTGGTGAACAGACCTCCGTGCTATTGCAGAGGATGGCGAGACGGAGGGGACCTAATAGGTCCCTTCCCTTTTCTCCATCTCGCTTCGTTCACCTCTTCCTTTAATAGTCCTTTCCTTTCCCTTCCCTCTTCCATCCCTTCTCCTCGTCTGCCACGGGTTTACTGAGAGAGTATCTCACGCGATACCACCGGTCGCGGTATACACCTACACCCAATGATGGAGGTAGATGGACCACGAGATGGTTGGCTTCGAGTCCAGTCTCGTTTCATAATTGCCTTCTAGTCCTTTTAATTTGTAACTCCTATTCCTTTTAATTCGTGATTCTTAATCCTTTTAAATCACGAGTCCTAGTTCTTTTAATTCTCGAGTCCTTTTCATTCATGACTCCCAACCCTTTTAATTCGTCATTCCCAGCCCTTTGAATTCGTGACTCCCAATTCTTTTAATTCATAATTTCTAGTTCTTTTAATTTAACTCTTAATCCTTTTAAATTATGATTTCTAGTCCTTTTGATTCTTGAGTCTTAGTCTTTAATTCATGAGACTCCTAGTTTTTTAATTAATGTTTCTAGTTCTTTTATAATTCGTGACTCCTAGTCTATTTTGTTTTACAAATAATCATATAAAAAAATTCATTCGAGTCCCTTTTCATCGCGTTTCTACGGAATCGTCTATGCGATCTTTTACGTGCATTCTTTACTTCGTTTATCTCTTTTGTGAGAAATTATAACGATGCTCCGGCAAAGCACGGAAACTGATATGATCGATAAGACATTTTATGCCTCACGAACTCTAGAAAGTTCACGCTTATCACAGATCGCCGTTGCGTTCGCGTCGATGCGAATAATGCGTATTGCGAAATGAACGCACATTCGCGGATAATTAACTGCTACACCTGCGATAGATATATGACGTAAAGAAACGAAACGATATGTGACGTGTTCCGTGAAGTGTAGTGCTCGTAACTC